GTTGGACCAGCGTGAAGGTGATCATTCTGGGCTTGCTGGGGGACTGAGAGCCCAATTCCGGGAGGAGGGACTGCACCTGGCCCTAAGTGCATCCCTTTGAAGACCACTCCCCAGGGCGCTGGAGCCGGGCGGGGCACTGGGTGCCACAGGTCCCAAGATGGCGGGCCTGGGATGGGGAGTGAGGAGGCGGGCACCTCCCTCTCCTGGCCAGGCAGGCTCCAGGGCCAGGCTCAAGTGAGTAGCCAGAGTCCCCGCACCTCCTCAGACTCCAGCTAAGAAGCTAGGTCAGAGCTGAGGGGCTCAAGAGCCACAGGGCACCAGGGACCATTCAGAGCCACCAAACTGACATCTGCACACACCCCTGGCCTGGAGGTCTGTGGCTGGCGCCCCCAGGGACTGCAGAGAATGGGAAGGGGTGTGTGCTGAGCCAGGAACTGCAGGGGAGTGGCTGATGGGGACAGAGGTGGAGCAGAACCAGAAGCCAGGGCAGGAGGTCTAGAGAAGAACAGGTCCAAAGGACAGAAACAGCAGGTGGGATGAGGGCCTCAAATCTGGGGTGTCGGGTCCAGAAAGCCCCTCCCTGGTAACTGGGGGCTCCTCTGGCCGACCAGCGCCCCCCACCTGTGCAGGCCTGGGCCCGTGTGGGACAGGGAACGTGTTCCTCGCAGTCTCCCGGTCTCCCAAACCCGGGACCCCGGCCTGTGGACTCTGGCGCGGGCTACCCGCCCCCCGGCCGAACCCCCAAACTTCGCGACCGGCGGTGCCCCGCCCGGCCCGCGCCCTACCTCGCTGGGGCAGTCCTGCGGCGGCGGCGGCGGCGCGGCGGCTGGGCCGCTCAGTCCCACATTGTCCCCGGGAGAGGCGGCCGCTCACAACTGCGAGTGACATCAGCTGCGAACAATGAGGGGTTTGACAGGCGCGGAGCCCGGCCGGCCCGGAGCCCGGTCGCGCCGCGGTGCGCCCCGAGCGGCGGCCGCTTCCGGGAGGGCTGGCGCGACCCTCCCCCGGCAGCTCCACCAGTTCCCGGGAGTGGGGGGCGAGGGGGGGTCCGGCCTGAAGCGCGGTCCCAGTCACGGTTCTGCCCGCGCCGCGCCCCGCTCCCAGTCCCTTCGCTCTCGGCCAGCTGGTCCTTCCGTCCCGAGTCCCCTGCACCCCCATCTCGGCCTCTGCCCCGCTCCCGCTAGGATCCCTCGGAGCTCAGGTTTCGACCCTCTGCGGGGCTGAGTTTCCGGCGCTCCTGGCTTCTGCGCCATCCATCCCCGCGCGGGCCTCTCGCCCACCAACAAGCCCCACACCCTCAGCCACCCCCAGCTTCCGCCAGGCCCGGCCCTCGTGCGTCCAGGACAGGTTACCGGACCAGCTGGAGGAGGGGCCTGAGAGCGGTGTGACCCGGTGCACCCGCCCCGTTATTCCCCCCAAAGCTACCCCCAGAATTTTTTGGGCTAGGGTCGCGGCGTAGTTGAGTACTCGACTAGGGAAGGGATAAGAGTAGGCCGGGGGAGCTGGGCGGTTCCCAAGCTCTCGCTTTCCCCGCTGGGCGCCCCAGGCCGACGCGCCCCCTGGGGCTCATGTCTACCTCCCCTTCTCCCTAATCGGCTCAGCTTGGTCCCACTGACCTCCACCTCCCCTACAGCTGAGTCTCTTGGCACCTGGATGTGTGGGGGTGGGGAGGGGAATCCAATCTCCCTTCCCCTCCATCTGGCCCGGTGGACAAAGGGCAGGGGGACCATCTGGTCCCGCCAGGGTGGGGGAGGGGCTCGCAGTGGCGGTCCCCAAGGGACGGGGGAGGGGCGGCGCTCTGGAGACAGCGAGAGCCTGCGGGTCTAATTGCATCACTTTATTTCACCGACCTTCACTCTTGGTCCCCCCACCAACCAAACCTCAGAGCAGGAAACTAGCTAGGCCGAGAAGACCCAGGCCTGGGGAGTTGTGGAGCACCCAGCTGGAAGATCTGAGGGTCGAAGTGGTGCCCCCTCCTCCTTTGGGAGCATTTGTGATCTGGGGCCAGCTGCAACCTGTGGGTGAGTGAAGTTCAGAGCTAGCCATACCCTAAGCCTGGTAGAGGGTCTCCTGCAAGGGCTGGCCTCATGGGATCCCTGCCTTCCCAGATATGGAGAGGGCAGTATATGCCTGTGTAAGTACTTGTGTGGTGGCAGAGTATGTGTGTATGTCTGTGCATGCAGTGCAATGCTGCTGAGTCAGCTCCCAGCTGTGTGCACGGCCAAGTGAAGGGTCATATTTGGGAACATAGATGACTCTAATTTGTAAGCATGCATGTGGGCATGTATATTTTTGTGGCCCAAGAGGCGGAGTTAGGGGCTGTGCTACCCAGCGGAGCAGCCAAAGGAGGAGGTGGTAGGTGGGGAGAAGCTGGGCAGAGCAGAAGGAATGCAAGCTGAGGAGGAAAACTTATAGGAGAAGTTCATGTAATGGATTACCCTCCACCAGATTATGTCCCTTGATTCCTGAAATTTTTTTGATTTCACCTCTTCAGTCTGTCCCTGCAAGAGAAAGAAGAGGAAAAGACAGACCCTAAAAGAAAAGAACCCAGATAGACAGACATACCTGTTGCAATGTACAGGATGAGAAGGAACCCACAAAGGGAAGGAGAGAGAATGAGGAAGAGCGAGACCAGGGCAGGCAAGCGGCCCATCCCCATCAGCAGGGCTGCTCCTCATGCTAGCCCCCGCAGGAAATCCAGCAGCCCTGTATGCCACTCCTCGGGTTTGTCAAGGTAACAGGGGTGCCCTGCCCCCGCCATGACCAACACCCGGTGGTTGGGCAGCTGCTTCAGGTGCTCAAAGCTGGTCTGACCCATGGGGTCTTGGTCTCCATAAACGATAAGGACTGATGTCTAGAGAAAGAAAAAGGAGGCAAAGTCAACAGGGACCTGCCATACCAGACCCAGCCTCCTAGAGATCAGCTCCAGCCCTCCCCATCACTTTGGTGTCTCCCTGGGGTCACTGCAAATGATGGGGAGAGATGGGTTGGCCCAGTGAAGGGGTCGTATGGAGAGGCATAAATCTGTGTCCGCCCCGGTACACAACAAGGGCTTGGCATAGTAATCTGCTGTCAGCTTACCCCAAGGGTGGAGATTGGTGGTTCAACTCGTCTCAGAAACTACCCGTTTGGTTACCCGGTCCCCCCGGGGCCCCAGGGTGGACTCTTCCTTGCTCCTGGCAGGGGCATCTCAGCCTCCCACACAGGGGTACCTTCACTCTGGCATAGTCGGCAGCATTGATTTTGTCAGTGCAGATGGGGGCCACTGGCACGTAGCCCCGGAGCTGGGAGCCTGGGGCCGTGAGGAAGGGCAGGGAGTACATGCCGCTCAACGATGGGCTGATCACGACCGGGGGGCCCAGATCCAAAGCATCCACCACAGCTGCCAGGAAGCTGCTGGGGACCAGCTCCCCAATAGGGGCAGGCGCTTTTGCTTCCTTGGAGCACCCCAGACCTGGAGGGATTCAGGTGTGGGAGAGACAAAGGTGGTGAGTAGGAAGACAGCAGAGAGATGGTCCCTTCCTCCAGAAAGCCCTCCTAGGTCAAGCTCTGTGTCAGGTTCCTGAACATGCATATAGTTATTCCTACAGCGACCTAGGTCTGTCGTACCTGTGGCAAGCATAAGGCATTTCCCTCCATGTTTGTGCCCACTTCCACCAGAACAGTGTCTTCAAAGAATCAGGCTCTGAAGCCCCACATGGCTGGATCCAAGTCGCGGTGATCCACTTACTATGTAACCCTAGGAAAGTGCCCTCAGCCCTCTCTCCACTGTTCAGTTTCCCCATCTGTTAAAAGGAGGTAACAAAAGTTTCTGCTGCTTGAGATTGTTGTGAAAATTTAGTGAGTTAAGTGCTTCAGAGGCACCTGTCCCAGGGCTGGCAGGGTAGATGCCTCCAGGACAGGGGATGAGGGGTGGTCTCTGCACACATATCTCCCCTCTGGTTAGTCAGTCGCTACCTTCTGCATAAGGATTAGTTCATGGCCTTGGCTTGGAAGTTCGGCCCAACCCACTGTCAGAACCAATCCTGTCCCGTCCTGGAGGCCCGCCCTTGGGCACTGAAACCATACCAGCCATGGCCAGAGACGGAGGCAGGTTGGCCATGCTGCCCCTTTCACACTTGGCACCGTGGGCTGGGGCCTGCCAGTGGAGGTTATGACTGGCAGTCTGGTGCTGCCCTTTCCTCTCTCGACCTAACTTAGGGCTTTGTAGGTGGGATCATGACCAGGGGTTTAGCCATCCCCAAGTGTGCCAGGGGACACTCAGGGCTTCCCAGCAGAGCTGGTGTTTACAGTTCTTTCAAAACATTTTACTTGCCATCAGCTGAGTACTAATTATTCTGTGTTACGTACTGGTCACATACTCACATGGCACATCTCAATCCATTCTCATTAAAACCATCCTCCAGAATGGGTGTGGTTATCTCATTGCAGATAAGGAAACAGGCTGAGACACGGAGACACTGCACTGAGCAACACAGATGCAGCTGGGCAGTGTCCAGACCGTATCTGGATGGACTAGAGAAGCTTGAAGGCCCTTGTAGTGCACTCTGACCTGTCTAGCTCGGATCAGCCTGGTTACATCCCCCCAGCCTCCCAGCCCTGGGTCCCCAGTGAGGCCCCCACAACCCCTGTCCAGAAGCCTGCCCCCTCCTCCCGAGTTACCTGGCAGGTCAATGGCCACAGCCCGGTAGCCAGCCTGGGCCAGCCTGTGCAGCGTGCCCAGGTTCTGCCAGGTCTCGGAGGAGAAGCGTATGCCATGCAACAGCAGCACGGAGAAGCGGGCGGCCTGCCCACCGGCGGGGCGAGCCTCTCGGAAGAAGAGGCTCTGGCCCTGCACCTGGGTGGTGCCCTCGTGCTGCTCCACGCCCGCCATGCCTGCTGCTGTGCTGGTGCCACAGAACACTCTGCCCACGTGGAGCAGGGAGGCTGCCCCAGAGAGGGCAGGGGTCTCTCCTGCAGCTGCAAGGAGGCTCCCAGAACTCTAGGCGCACGCCTTGGATGAGGAAAACATAGGTGTTATTTCTGCCTCCGCCACTACTTAATTGCCTTAGTTTCCTCATCTGAAATATGGGACATGAATGCCCACCTCAAGAATGTATGAGTTAAAAAAAAAGACAAACATAATTGAGTGTGCCTGCCTTTGGAAAAAACTCAATACAGGGGGCTCCCATTACAATCACTGTTCCCATTGTTAGTATCCTTTCCTACCTTTGGGGATAATACAGTAGAACTTAGCTCCGAGGTGGTAGATAGGATTAAATGAAGCCAGGCGTGTAAAACACTCCCAGTGCCCAGCACACAGTAAGCATAGTAAACGTCTGAACAGTAAGTAGTTGACTATTCTGCTTATCAGCCTTTTCCTCCTCCAGGCACTGCTATAGGTCATGGATTGGCAACGCAGACGCAAGGGAGTTGGGGCTGGAGTGGGGAAAAAAAAAAAAAAACACAACTATTTTCCGGAGCCGGAAACCGGAGCGCTGAGTGGGGAAAAGCTTTGGAGTTCCGGCTCACGAAACCCGCGAGGTGCTCAGCGCGCTGCCCGCTGAGGCCCAACACACGGTCGGCCGAGGCCAGACGTGGTCTCCGGCACCGCCACCTCTGGCTCGGTCCCCTCCGAGGACCTCGGTTGTGGATCGCAGGGTCTGGTAAGGTGCATGCAAAAGCCGAGGGGGGCAGACCCTAGGAAGGGGGACTGGGGAGCTAACATAAGAAGGGGAGAAACTTTGCGGTGGGTGGGGGTGGGTTCTAACTAGAGAAAGGGAGAGTCGGAGGGCGCAGGATAGGTACCTGGGGAGCTGCGCGAGCAGGCAGGCGAGTGCAGGCGGCGACTGGGGCCGGGGCGGGGAAGCAGGGAAGGGGCTGGTGCGGGGAAGGAGGGAGGTGGCCCGCCGGAGGGCAGGGGCTGGACCGTGCTCCAGGGCGCCCGCTTGTGGCCGCAATCCGTCGCAGGGAGGTGGGTGCTGCTATGCTAGACCCATCTTCTCACAGCGGTCTCGGTTTCCCCATGTCCTTCGACCCCATGTACCCCAGACTGGGTCGGGCCCAGAGACCCTGAGCAACCTGCCCCTGGTGCATATGGTGTGTCTTGAGAAGAAGGGTTCCTTTGGGGTCTCGGCTGCCCAAGCCCAGTTTTCAGTCTGGACACAGTGGAAGCCAGACTGATTAGAATGCGAAGTTTTGCCAATGTCTAGCCTTGATCGCGGAGAAGGCAATGGCACCCCACTCCAGTACTCTTGCCTGGAAAATCCCATGGACGGAGGAGCCTGGTAGGCTGCAGTCCATGGGGTCGCGAAGAGTCGGACGTGACTGAGCGACTTCACTTTCACTTTTCACTTTTATGCATTGGAGAAGGAAATGGCAACCCACTCCAGTGTTCTTGCCTGGAGAATCCCAGGGAGGGGGTCGCACAGAGTCGGACACGACTGAAGTGACTTAGCAGCAGTAGCAGCAGCCTTGATCGGTTTCCCAACTGCCCTGAGCATATTTCCTTGCCTGTAGAATGGGTGTGATGCTGCCTAACTCACAGAGTGCTAATAAGGGGTGAATGCTGTGTGTTCCTCCCATCCTCCCTGTTCCAGGCCTGGCCACACAGGCTAGGGACAGATCAGATGTTGGTCACATGTCACTAACCAGGATAGATGACTTATAGAGACATGAAGGAGCCTAGAGGCCACCAGGGCTCTGGCTGAGAGCATGCATATGTGTGTGTGTGTGTGTGTGTGTGTGTGTGTGTGTGTATGTATTTGCAGGGGTCAGGGAAGTGGCTGACCAGAGACCTGGGGCTGCTTCAAAACAATATTAATATCTGGCAGTTACACAGCGAAGCTTCCATGCCAGACAGCAGGTCCTTAAGACAACCCTCTGCGGTGGTGACAACCCTTTGTGGGCCTAAAGACAACCCTTATCCTTCACCCTGCCATACAGACCAGAGACTAAGGGTGGAGACACGCTGGTGGGAGGAAGTCGGGTGACTTCTCTTTATGCCCCAGCTCTCAGGCAGAAAAACAGCCTAGCAAATCTGGACAGTGGGAAGTGGAGCCGGGCCTCTGTGCTTTGGGGTGCCCCCCCGCACCCAGGCGCGGGACTGAGACCGCGGACTGCGCAAGCGCACCGAGGCTCTCCGCCACCTAGTGACCGCAGCGGCTCGCAGAGTGGTGGAAGCAGCGCCAACGTCGCGGCGCTGTTGGACCCTGGTTGCATCCGAGCAGAGCCCGCCCAACAGTGGCGGGTGCAGTTATCCCGGTTGGCCCGGTAAGTGTCCCCGGGGAGTGAGGCCAGCAGGTTGCCCGGAGCGGGCCGTTCTTGCCCCGCCCCTTGCCCCAGAGCCCTGGGGCAGAGTCCCACCGCCCGAGGGGCCGCGCTGGGGGAGCCAGTTTGCTTGTTTGTGTTCCGTTGTCACTTGTGCACCCGCTCAGTTGTTGGCAGTGTGTTCTTGGGGGTTTGGGTGTGTGTGTGTGTGTGTGTGTGGGTGTGTGTGTGTGTGTGATGTGTGTCTGTTTTTCTGTGCCTGCGCTGGGGGGCAGTATGTCAGTCTCTGCCCGCTTGTGTCTGTTTATGTCTACTGTGTGTGTTTCTGTGTGCTGTGTGGCTTGAAGGGTGTATATCTACCTGTATGTATGTGTATTTCTCAGGGTCTGTGTTTGGGTGGGTGTCTGCCTGTACCTCAGAGTACATGTTTTTGTGTATATGTGTAGTTTTAAGATTGTGTGTATGACTGTGTGCTTGAGATACAAGGGTCTGCATATGATTTTAAAAGCGTGTGTGTATGTGTGTGTGTGTGTGTGTGTCTACCTGTGTGTCTGCCTTCCTGATAACTGATGTATGTGTGATTTTGAGGGTGTATTTCAAGGTATCGATTGTACACAGGCCCATGCATGTGCAAGGAGGCTGTGTGTCCATGCAGGGACTAGCTTGTACAAAGGAAAAGTGTTTGGGGACGTGAGTTTGTGTGCATGTCTGTACACCTGTGTGTCATTTTGAAACGTATACCAGGGACCTCACGTGGGTACAGTGCCTCCTCTCCGCCTCTTCCATCTCTGTAGCATACTGTTGTCTAGTGCTCCAGCTGCCTGGGTTGCCATAGCAATGGCTGCAGTCCCATTCCTCCCTACCTGGAGAGGTGCCCCAGTGCCCCAGGACCATCACAGGAGAGGTTCAGCATGGATACTCTGCTTGGTGGGAACCTAGGCTGGTGTGTTGGATGCTTGCATCCGAGGCTGGTGGTAGGCAGAAAGAAGAGAGGAGCGTATTCTTCCTCCACGCAGCTCCTGACTCTGCTCCAGAGGGGCTGCCAGTGCCCCGTCACCACCTGACCTTGGCGACTGGGGCTGGGGGCTTGGGAAACATCCCCCAAATTTCTGGGAGAGGTGGGTGGGGTCCAAGGCGATTCCCCAGCTCAGATCTAGGGCCAGTGCCCAGCAGGCACTCAGATAAAGACATGTTCACTGGAATCCAGGAACAAGGATCCTTGACCTAAAACATGATGATGGGCTAGCCCTTGGTCAGGCCCCCTGTATTATTGAAATCTCACAGAAGGCTTTTTGCAAACATGCCCTTAGTGGGACATTGCTTTACCCTTTGATGTCTTTCACCTTTGATGACCGTCACCACTCCAACCACTAGTTCATCCATCACTTCCCAGCCCCAGTTTCCTTCTTGGTAAAATTAGTGTGGCCTGGTTGTTGGGAGCCTGGCCCTGGGCTCAAGTGTCAGTTCTGCTACTTGCTACACTGCACATCAGGCAAGAGAATCTACCTCTCTGAGCTTCAGTTTGCTCATTTATAAGAAACCTACAATCGTATCTGTTCCCTAGCATTCTTGTGTGGATTCATGAGTCATTACATGTGTAGGGCCTAGCACAGGGCTTGGCTGTCATAAGTACTTAATGAGTGGAAGTGGGTTTAGTTGGCACAGGATGGTGGTGGCCACTGATGCCAGGGGGACATCTCAGATGCTCCTCACACGTATGGGGTATCTGAGCCCTTGCCCTGGCATGTGGAGTACTTGGGTGTGAACCCTCAGACACTTGCCCAGGGCAGAGGAAAGGGCAACAGCTGAGCCTTTCCTCTGCTGGGAACCCCCGGGTGGGATTTGAGGGGGTTTTGTGGGAGCTCAGCTCTACGCTCTACCCTCTTCTCCACCTCCTCTTCTCCTCCAGACTGTGGTACAGACCTCCATGAGCCGGTCCCAGGTTGCCCTGCTGGGCCTGGGCCTGGGCCTGCTGTTCATGCTGCTGCTATATGTGGGGCTGCCAGGACCCCCTGAGCAGACCTCCTGGCTCTGGGGAGACTCCAATGTCACGATCCTGGCTGGTCTCACCCCTGGCAGCTCCCCCATTTTTTACCGTGAGGTGCTCCCATCCCACCGGGCCCACAGGTAGGTGCTTACCCTAGGGTGTAGTAGAAGGACTAGGCCCAAGGAGAGTCCCCGTGTGGGACCCCCCCCCAGCTCAACTCAAAGTGCTCAGGGCCTGGGAGGGCGGTGGGAGAAGCCTTGGAAGAAAGAACCCCCAGGACACACACACTCCCCGTGTGCCCACAGGGTGGATGTGGTGCTGCTCCATGGAAAGGCCTTTAGCTCCCGGACGTGGGAGCAGCTGGGCACGCTGAAGCTGCTGGCGCAGAGGGGCTACCGGGCCGTGGCCCTTGACCTTCCAGGTGAGCCCCTGCCCCTGGGTCCAGGGAGGTCACATGCAGCAGGGACAAAGGGACAGCATGCCAGACGGTAGAACTGGAGGGCTGGGAAAGCCCTAAGCTGTGGCTGGGGCTCATCTGGACCCCAGGGTCTAGACAGGCAGTGGCAAGTCACAACACAAAGGGGCAACACGAAAAGCTCTGTGTTTTTATTTTCTACCTTGAAAACTACAGTGTGGATTGTTGGATGTCACAGAGCGCTTAGAAACATGACCTTACCAAAAAAGAAAAAAACATGACCTGCCTCACAGAAGATCACATGGGGAGATATCACTGCTCTTTTTATGATAAACTAGGTAGCTTTATGTCTTTTTCAGCTATACAAATGATTTTTTGCTGTTATTCTTGTCATTAAAAAATCAACCAAGAGTGACCCCTCTCAGAGACCCATGCCATTTCTCTCTCGCTGTCACTTCTCTAAGCAGTTTGAGGGTGCCAGATCCTCTCTGGGTGCTTTTATACCTAGAGACACAGGGTTATGTGGTGGGGGTTGTAAACATGACTGGTGTCCTGCCTGCTTAGCGAATCTCTCTGCAACCTGGTTTTCTTCCCCTCGGCCGTGTCTCATGGGTCATGTCAGGCACTGTGACCCTCCCTTACCCTAATGTGTGCCGTTGGAGGGATGAGCAGGTTTCGTTTGGCCACTCCTCTAACGGTGGCTGTGTAGGCTGGTTTCAGTATCAGTCAAAATGCTCAAGTAAGGAAGCTGAAGCATCTTTGGGCATGCCTCTTCTTTTCTTCTTCTTTTTTTCATTGCTTATTTTATTTTTTGACCACGCCACACAGCATGTGGGATCTTAGTTCCTTACCCAGGGATGGAATCTATGCCCCCTGCATTGGAAACACATGAGTGTTAAGCACTGGACCACCAGGGAGGCCCCTGAACATGCTCCTTTGAGCATATGGGCAATAATTTCTGTAGGGTAGCCATCAGGGACAATTGATTTGTCAGAGGACACACATTTAAAATTTCTTGACAAATATTATCTTACCCTCCAAAAATGCTATATGGATTTACTTTCCAATCAGTCATGCACGAAAGTATCCATTTTCCCTCATCTTCCCTAACACTGTGTATTATCACATTTTTTTTTTTAGTTTGACTCTGCTGGGTCTTAGTTGTGGCACATGGGATCTCGTTCTCTGACCAGGGATTGAACCCAGGCCCCTTACACTGGGAGCATAGGGTCTTAGCCACTGGACCACCAGGGAGGTCTGTATCAATCTTTAGTTTTGCCAATATGATGAATGAAAGATGGTTTTCTTAACAGCCCTATCACCTTACAAAAACATAACTTCTGGGGATTTGGGAGTAGCAGATGTTATGCGCCACGGGTCCCCATCTCTTTGACCACTATGGTGAGCAGGAAGTCCTGTCCACCTTCCCAGCCTCCCTCAGCTGGTGCCTTCTGCTGTTCCCAGGTTTTGGGAACTCGGCACCTTCAAAGGAGGCAAGCACAGAGGTAGGGCGGGCAGAGCTGTTGGAGCGAGTGCTGCAGGACCTAAATGTGCAGAACGCCGTGTTGGTGAGCCCTTCACTGAGTGGCCGCTATGCCCTGCCCTTCCTGATGCGAGGCCACCACCAGCTGCGTGGATTCGTGCCCATTGCACCTGCCTCCACCCAGAACTACACCCAGGAACAATTCCAGGCTGTGAAGGTACTGGGAGGAGGGTCCCTGAAAGTCCTGGCTTCCTGTCCCTGGTTTGGGTCATGGGGGGAAAACACATAGGTTGTACTTGGAGGACACATGGCCTCATCCTTGATCTGGATGGAAGAGATGGGGTGTATCGGGAAGATATCCTAAGGAGGTGGCTTGAGGGTCAGTCCCCCTCAGGCCCCAGGATCATGGCCCCTTGCCTTGCCCTGCAGACCCCGACTCTCATCCTGTATGGGGAGCTGGACCGCACCCTGGCTCGGGAGTCACTGCGGCAGCTCCGCCATCTGCCCAACCACTCCACGGTGAAGTTGCGCAATGCAGGCCACGCCTGCTACCTCCACAAGCCACAAGACTTCCACCTCGAACTCCTTGCTTTCCTTGACCATCTACTGTGAGCTCACCCACTGTCCAGGCCCCTGGCCTGGCTTGAACTTGGAGGGTCTGGACCAGTCCCCACCAGGGCAGCAGGCCCTGTGATTAGAGGGCAGAGGCCAGAGGGCTAGACCCAGTCGGGACCTTTCATTTTATCTCAGAGGCACAATTAAAAAAAAAACAAAAAAGCAGTTTTGTCATACCTGGGGAGTGACAGGTCCTGTTTGCTGGCATTGCTGCAGGTGGGGTGAGAGTTGGAGCCAAGTGTGGGACTGCTCGGGATTGAGAGCTGGAGGGACTGCTCCAGCAGCCTGAAAAGGCTAAGGACATAGGCTACTTACTAGATGGCTGCTGAGTGGCTAGTCTGTGACTCAGTTTCCTCATCAGTAAAATGGGCATGATGTAACACCTAGTTTAGAAACTGGTTTTAGGATTGAATGAGTCTGGGTAAGCAGAGCACTTGGCCACACAGGGCTGGCACGTGGGACTGTCATTGAGAGGGGTCATTACTCCTGCTAAATGATCACTGGGATTGATGGGAAATCCAGGGTCTGGTGGCTGAGATGAGTGAATCAGGATGTAGGTTCCATGGCCAAAAGGGGCAGGATGTGTAGAGGAGGGGATGGGGAATGTGGTTTATCTTGTAGCATAGTATTGGGGAGGGGGAAGTTTCCCCCTCTCCCCATCTTGAGTTCTTGGTTGGACTAACAATAAAACTGACACAGAACAGATTAACAGGAGAAAAAGAAATTTTAGTTGTGTGCAAGGTCTCATAGAAATGAGACCTAAGAAGTGACCAAAGCAGGCAGCTTTCATACTTTTTAGACAAAGAATACATTTGTGAGGACTTGACAAAAACATATTTTGGATGCTCAATTAGTAATGACTCTATTAATAAACTTGGGGCTTGGGGGTAGTAAATTAAAAGAAGTAACAAAGTTTGTTTATAGAGGCTTATTGGCCAGCATTCCCTATCTCTGGAGATAAGGGTGTCCTATCTCCAGATCCAAGGAATGTACCTTTCACAGAGATTTCTTTCCTGCTTTCAGGGAGACAGAAAGGAGGGTTAGAATGTCTCTCCTGCATTGGATATTTCTTAAGTGACTTTAATTCAAAATAATCAACATGCCAACAATAGCATTGCTGGTGAACCAGCAAGCCTGCTTGTGTCTGGGAATATATGGGTCAGCAACTGAACTTAAACCCCAGGAGGGTTGGATGGACCTTAGCCTACCTTCCTAGCCTGCTTCCCCTGTGCCCAGAGGTTGAAGTCTTCAACCCCACCCCTCTGCAAGCTGAGTCACCCTCTGGAACTGGCTGAGTACAGAGGACAGCCGGGCACACAAATGGGCAGCTACAACTGTGTGCAGCCTGTGGGTGGCCAGTGGGACACCTGTGCCTCTTTTATCGTCCTTCTTCGGTGGCTGCAGAAGAGCCAAGGAAGCTGGCACAGGATCAGCAAAGAACGTGCCACACGGATGCATCTGTGCAGTTTCCTACCTCTCCCTCTGTCTACAGCGTCACGATTACATCCTCTCAGCGTGCCATCCTCTGTCACATCCACCATCTCACATTCACATGGTCATACACAGTCACCCACTGACACACAGCTTTGCCCACACAGCGGCGCGATCACACAGGCACTCATCCGTTCACTTATCCTCCGTGCCTGGCACGCCGTCCGTCTGCCCTGTGCCCTGCCAGAACAGGATCCTGAGGGTACCTGGACCAGCCTCCTGGCGCTCACAGATTGTTAACCAGTAAACCTCTCCACACAGGGAGCGCTGAGGCCGTCCCTAAGGAGTTGAAGCGTGACGAGGGGAGAAGTAGAGACTCGCGGGAGCGGGTGGCAGAGCAGGTGGGGACCAGCTCCAGCAGGACTTAGCGGGACTGAACCCTGAGAGCGAGGGGGCGCCCAAGCGGGCAGTTGCGACATTTCCAGCCGGTGCCCGCCCCCTTCTTTTCTCGCCCAATCGGGAGGCTGCAGGAGGTGGGGCCGGCTACCCAGAACCAAGGGCGGGGCCCGGGGCGAGCCCTGCTGGGCGGGACTGGGCCTGCGGGGGCGGGGTCAGCCCGGAGCTCGCCTCCGGGTGCCGGGCGGAGCTGGTGGCGGAGGCAGCTGTCCCGGGGCGGGATTCTGATCCCCAGCCTCAGGTAACTGGTGGAGGCTGCAACCACTGGCGGGCGGGGACGCCCTCTCCTACTGGGCCTTAGAGTCTGGAATGGCCCTGATTCGCATTCTTCGGTTCCGCCCTGCGAGGTCTGGCCACGTGGTGGGCGGACCTGGGCAGTTTTGATCCTGAGACCTCACAGGACCCCGAGTCCAGCCCAGAGTTCAGGGCGGACGCCAGGCGGCGAGCGCGGGCAAAGACCAGCCGAGAGCGAGGTGGGGGGCCTTGGAGAGGGGTAGCGGGATCTGGAGCTCCCTGAAGTGAAATCCAGGCAATGGGGAAATTTCTTTTCGAGAAGGGCGGCGGGAGTCAACGTGTGGGTTCAAACGTGGCTCAGTTACTTTCTAGCTGTCTCTGAGCCTCTTTTTGCTTTTCCTCTGTAACGTGTACATTCAGAGGCACGAACTTCATGGGGCTCCTTGGGGGATTAAACAAGGAACTGTGTTGAAAGTGGCCAGCACAGTGCCTGAAACAGAATGGGGGCTCTGTAACGGGGGACGTCCGGGGAGCCGCCCTGGGGAGGGGCGCGTGCAGATGGAGTCCACTTGCCCCAGGTGCGGGGAGTAGGCAGCCACTCGCTTTCCCCCCAGCTCACCACGGCAGGGCCGCACCATGGCCAGCGAAGGTAGCGAGGGCGAGCACCCATCCGTGACGCTCTTCCGTCAGTACCTGCGCATCCGCACCCTCCAGCCCGAGCCCGACTATGGTGAGAACGCGGCGGTTTCAGGACCTGTGGTGGGGCTTCAGGGACGGGGACTATGCTCTAAACCCAGGCAGCAACCTCTGTCACCCAGCTGAGCCTAATCTGCTGCCTCAGATGGCTCCGCCACTGCTCTAAGTCGTTCCCTGGGTCAACAGACTTCTCAGCAGCCCCTCCAGGCTGTGCTGCTCCGAAAGTTACAACCGGCGTTTAGATAAGGAACATCTTCCCCCTCACTGCCCAGGACTTGCGGTTGGGGGGGGGAAGCAGAGGCTCCTGGAAGTCTTCTGGGGTTGAACAAAGGCCACAGCCCTTAAGGAATCAGGCTTGGTGCCAGAGAACTGTGTACGTAGGTCCAGTTCAAATCCCAGCTGGTGAGCCTTGTGTCTCTGAGTCAGTTTCCCAGATTAAAGAAAAAAAAAATTATGCATTTAACTGTGCCAGATCTTACTTGCCATGTGTGGGAGCTTTCACTGCAGCGTGTGGGGATCTAGTTCCCCCTACCAGGGATGGAACCTGTGCCCCCTGCATTGGGAGCCCAGAGTCTTAACCACTGGACCACCAGGGAAGTCCCAGTTTTCTCATCTTTAAGGAGGGTAACAATGACACTTGCTTCTCACTCTGGACTTCCCACCTGGCCTTCCACAAAGGATCACTGGCCAAAAAACATCTTTGGGGACTGAGATGCAAAGGTCTCTTATGGATGAGGAATTGTGTGGAGGCAGGTGTCTGCTCCCCTCTCTGGATGTCCCCCGCATCTCTGCCTGGGCCCATGGGAGGTGAGGATGGGTGGGGAGGCAGAAGTAGCAGCCAGGCTCTCTGTGTCCCCAGGGGCAGCTGTGGCCTTCTTTGAGGAGAGAGCCCTCCAGCTGGGCCTGGGCTGTCAGAAAGTGGAGGTGAGCGTGCGGCGCTGCGTGGGAAGGGGGAGGTGGGCCTGAAGCAGCTTCTTGCCCTGCACTGACTACCCCTCCTCCTGGCCCTCTCTAGGTGGCACCTGGCCGTGTAGTGACCGTGTTAACCTGGCCAGGCACCAACCCCAGACTCTCCTCCGTGTTGCTCAACTCCCATACGGATGTGGTTCCTGTCTTCCAGGTGTCTTGGGGGTGTGGGGGTGTGGGAACACAGTGTCCCAGAATGGAACAACCCTTGTGGACAAAGTACAGACCTGCCCATTCAACTGCAGAGAGACCACAGTGCTGGTCCTGGCAGACTTGACCTCACAGAGCTTTACTCCACTCCGGCAACCTCTGCCCAGTAGCCATTCCATGCCAGGGTGGGTTGGGGATGCTGGTGGTGGAGGTGGGAGGCAGAGATGAGGGATGACGGCTGTCAGCAGCCCTCTTCAGGGCAGGACCACAGTTGAGCAAGGTAGGTTAATGACTACATTTGGGGCTTGGGTCCTTCTTCCTGCCACTGCCCCCAGGAATATTGGAGTCATGATCCCTTTGAGGCCTTCAAGGATGCAGACGGCTACATCTATGGCAGGGGTGCCCAGGACATGAAGTGTGTCAGCATCCAGTGAGTGTCCTTCATTCCCAGTTTCCTCACAGGACCCAGGCATGATCGGAGAACCTCAAGGCCAAGGAACATCTTGACTCCTTACCTTGGGTGGGAATTCCTGCTATGACCATTGACTGGATGGGGAGATGGGGACAGAGACTTGCTGGAGTCACCTGCTAGGCTGTGGCAGAGCAGGGCCCAAGGCTCCAGCCTGCCTGCTCAAGCATCTGATGGGTCCCCCCAGCACCCAGCTTACACCCTCTCCCTGCCCCTCAGATACCTGGAAGCTGTGAAGAGGCTGAAGGCTGAAGGCCACCATTTCCCCAGAACCATCCACTTGACTTTTGTGCCAGGTAGGAGTGGCTGGTGGGGGGCACTTTCAGAGGCAGGGAGAGCCTGTTGGGGGTACCCACCCTATCTCACATTCCTACTGCCTTTACAGATGAAGAGATTGGGGGTCACCAAGGCATGGAGCTGTTTGTGAAGCGGCCTGAGTTCCAGGCCCTGAGGGCTGGCTTCGCCCTGGATGAGGGTGAGGAGAGTGGCAGGCCACTGAGCAGCCAGCCGAGGGTACGGAGGTTACTGGTGAAGGCTGGGCCACTCCACCCTCTGAACCGCCTTTTCCTCCCCAGGCCTGGCCAACCCCACTGATGCCTTCACTGTCTTTTACAGTGAGCGGAGCCCCTGGTGTGAGTACGCACTTGGAGTGTGGGGATCACCGTGCAGATGGGCGGCTGGGCCAGCAGGGACAGGGGTCTGTCTGCCCAGGGCTCCCCAGCACGTTGGGGCCTGAGTAGGCCTTGAACCCAGGGCCTCTGCCTCCCAGCCCCTTCCTACCCTGGCGTCTCTTTCCTGAGCTTGAGTGGAGGTCCTAACTGTGGGCAGAAACCAGCTCTACCCTGTGCATTTTGAGGGGGACAGAGCCCTGCCTGAGGAGTTTGGATGGAGGGGAAAGGCCATGGGCCCATCTCGGGGCTGGTTGCTTTTCCACCCTGTCCCTTTCTGAGGCCACCCCCTTCCTCCTGCCGCTACCAGGGGTGCGGGTCACCAGCACCGGGAGGCCGGGTCACGGCTCGCGATTCATCGAGGACACGGCAGCAGAGAAGCTGGTGTGTGGCCCCCGGGGAGGGGGTGTGGGAGTTCCCGAGGCTCTGTCCTGGGGCCCCTGTTACATGTCACCTCACACTCCCCTAGCACAAGGTCGTGAGCTCCATCCTGGCTTTTCGGGAGAAGGAGAGGCAGAGGTGAGGCAGACGGAAAGGGCACGGGGCTCTGGGAGGTCCTGCAAGGGAGGAGGTAGGGTTGAGCCACCTTTTTATCTGTTCCTCCTCCTTGCTGCTGGCTGCCCCTGCCCCCTCACCACAGGCTGCAATCAGACCCTCAACTGAAGGAGGGGGCTGTGACCTCCGTGAACCTGACTATCCTAGAAGGTGGTGTGGCTTTTAACGTGGTACCTGCCACCATGAGTGCCAGCTTTGACTTCCGCGTGGCCCCGGATGTGGACCTTAAGGTGCCACCTCCACCTGGGTTTGGAGGAGGGAGCCTGGGTCCTCAGCCCAGTCCTCGGGGTCAGCTCACCTCCCTTCTCGTAGGCTTTCGAGGGGCAGCTGCAGGACTGGTGCCAGGCAGCTGGCGAGGGGGTCACCTTCGAGTTTGTTCAGGTATGGACGGGGGCGCCTACGATGGGGGAGTCATAGGAGCTGGGGAGACTGGGTTTGCTGCGTGGGTCACTATACACTTGGTGTGTGTGTATACATCCTGACATTTCTTTAGCTGTGAGACATGTTTTATTAACCAGCAAGCATTAGTTGTAGAGGCTACTGTTGGGTGCTGGGGAACACTGGGGAGTGGAATTAAACAAGAATTTTTGCCCTCAATTCTTACAGCATGAAGAGAGGAATAGGCATGAATCAAATATGAACACATGAGATCCAGGAAAGGGTGGGACCTTATACTGTGTGGACTTGTAATTGGAGTCTTTGACCAGACTGAGGTCTGGGACTACCTTCTTGAGCAAGGGGCACTTGGGCTAGGATCTGAGGACGGATGGGAAGTGGAGGACAGAGGTCCCTGGCCTGTGGCCTTTGAAGGACTGAAAAAGGGCCTGTTGCTGGACTGGCCAGCTGGATGTCTGGGTAGGTGGGTGGGGTGTGTCCTGTGTCAGGCACAGCCTACTCTATGAAGAATAGGGCAAGATGTCCAGACTCTGTCCTGATCCTGCCATCCTTCTCCCCACAGAAGTGGTCAGAGCCCCAAGTGACACCTACTGATGACTCAGACCCTTGGTGGGCAGCATTTAGCAGGGCCTGCAAAGACATGTGAGCACGCTGGCCAGCCCTCCTCTCCCCTTCCCCTCTCTTCCATCTTCCTTCAATCCTTCCCTTGCCCTCCCTGCTTCCACATTCACCAGAACATTCACATTCACCCTCTGCAGGAACCTCACTCTGGAGCCAGAGATCTTCCCCGCTGCCACGGACAGTCGCTATCTTCGTGCGGTGAGCCGCTCACAAAAGGGTGGGCAGTGGATTGGTTCCTGGGTGCTGGCCTTCCCGCTGATAGCTCCCCTCGTTCCCTGCAGGTAGGGGTCCCGGCTCTGGGCTTCTCACCCATGAACCGCACGCCCGTCCTGCTCCACGACCACAATGAACGGCTGCATGAGGCCGTGTTCCTCCGGGGGGTCGACATATACACTCGGCTGCTGCCTGCCCTGGCCAGTGTGCCGGTCCTGCCCAGTGAAAGCTGAGCCCCGCGCAGTCCAACCTCCACCCTGGACCACTGCCAAGGAGCTCTCTTCCCTCCTGCCCTACAATAAAGTCTCTGTGAACTGGGGCCACTTCCGAAGTACTAACAGCAAGGATGTCTATGGAGCAGGGTTTCAAAGATAACAACTACTTCAGAGATGAGGGACCATACACCATATGCCGTACCTGTTGCCCTGGTATATCAGTAACTCCTTTTGAGCCTCCCAATGCCCCAAGTGACCACTATACTCAAAAGCCAGTCTTGAGGATCTAGTGTGACTATGCCCTTCACTGGCTGCTCTGAGGACTAAGACAGCAGGCTAAACAGCTGATCCGGGGGCAGAAGAAGACAGCAAAGTCATACAAGTTAAGGTAGTGCCACCAGTGCTTGGCCTCCTGGGAGCCCATTCACCTCAGAGTAGTGAATGCTGCCCAAGCCTGCTAGGAACCTGGAAATCCTCAGGCCAGAGTGCAGAATTCCCCTTTCTTCTGGGTAAGCTTGAAGACCTGACAAAAGTGTTTGGGTTTTTTCTCTTTTCTCACCATCCTGCCCAGTCCAGCAACCTGTGTGTCCCAGTATCCCAGAGACACCCACCCACTCACTTACTAGGTCCCATTCTTGCACTTCAAGGCCGTATTTCCCCGACTCACACACAGTACCACTCCAGGAAGGCTAAAACTCTACTCCCACACAAAACACTGGTACCTACACAACCCACACCCTAGTTCCAGCCCTGGGATCATAGACACAGGCTGACCAACAGATCCTGTCTCAGATTTATTTGTACAAATAGCACAGGAGGACACCAGCCCCACACAGACAGCAGCCCAGGGGGTCACACCAGTCCTTCTGTCCTCACACCGGCAGATGAAGGTCTCTACTCCGTAGCTTTGGTGGGGGCCTGGGCACCCTTGGCAGCTGGAGCTGCAGCTGCAGGTGGCTTGGCCTTGGTTGGAGCCTTGGCCTGGGACTTTGGCCGGCAGAACCTGAGACCCTTGGCGATGCGAGCACGAGCACGTTTCCCGAGCTTGGGGTGAGCAATGTAGGCAAGTCGGCTGAGCTTGCGGCTGCCGCCTGTTGGCATCTTGGGCTTGACCTCCTTGGGCTTGACGAGGGCCTTGACAGCCTCAGCACGTGCACTCATGGCCTTGGCATTGTTGGCCTGCATCTTCTTCAGGCCCTTCTTGTTGTGCTTCTTGGCAAAGCGCATGTTCCTCAGGAACTTGGGATCTACCTGGTAGACAAGAAAAATACAAGTAGCTTTAAGTGCAACATGTAAAAGCCAAGTCAACCTTGGTCCCCCCTCTCTATAGCAGCATCTTGGAGACTCTCAGGCCTATTGGGAGTCGAGACAGCATCAAGTCAACCTTAAATGCAGAAATAACCTGAGCCTTAGAAACTTATCTGCAGAAAAACATGTACCACCACCCCAAAAGTCAGTAATGCCACCCTGCTAATTCTTTACACAGAACACATTTTCAGAGCTACATGCCCAGAGCCCAGTAGAGTTCAAATGCAGGCGCAGAAGGAAAGAAGAAATTCCTACAGCAGGATTTTGGTTGAGTCTTCCCCAAAACCCCCCTCAAGGACACCCCACCCCGTCCTCCTTAAAAAATGTCAAATACCAAGGTTGGTACAACAGACTCACAGCAAACAAGGCGTAAGAGACTAAGAGACTAACGGAGGGAAGAGGGGGAGGGGGAGGGACCAATGGTACAGGGGAGAAGCAAAGTGGGGAGAAGGCACAGTTCTGCTCAGACTCCACGGCATCAGCCTTCCTGGCTAATCATTAGAGAACTCCCTAGCACAGGAAGGGAAGCTGCCCACCCTCCCAGCCTAGCACTGGATCAGATCAAGTCATATGGATGGTCAAAGTGGAATGTAGCTCACAAGGTACCAGGTACACACAGGCAAGGCCATCCTTTCCCTTGAAAGGCTCTAAGTGACCAAGGTAGATGATCAGACCGCCCTCAGGTAGCAGGTTAACACCTGACCAGGAGATTATACCCTAGGCCGATAAAGGCCAAGTAAAACTTTCTTACGGGCCTGGCAGGGCTTGAAGTCCAAGTAAAACGAAGGACAGTTAAGCACAAGAATGAATGAAAGACCCTGTCTGTGCAACTGGAGCCAAACAGACACACTCATGTGATTCGGTGCACACACTCACCCCCTTAAGAGATTCATATCGTTGTGATCGGGGTTTCTTGATGCCGTTTCTATGCCATTTTCGGGCTGCGGGAAAGGAAAGGAATTAGACCAAAGTAAGAGATTTCCTCTAATATGACAACCATCACAGCTGGCAAGCCGGAGAGAACCATAACTTCCCATTACTTAATATTTGTTTAAGAAACCCTTTATCACTGAATGCAAATGGGTATCTGGAGGCTTGTAAATGTAAACTCCAAAGGTAATGCTGAAAGTAACATCAGCCCCATGTGCACAGTAGAAAATGTGCCTTCTTTCCCTGGCCACTATCCCTAATCCTTGCTTGGGCCTGGGGCATTAGATGAAGGCTGGGCCAGGGAACTTACACTGGTTGTGCGTGGTGTGGTTCTTGGACTTGGCCATGTCTGCACCTGGAGAACGAGAGTGGAGATCAGAGCTGGGGGCTCGCCAGACTGGGTCTACCTTTTCGCCCTGATCTAGAAGATTGTGCAGCCAGAATGAGGCTGCAGCACAGACGCATGTGCCTCGATTCACTCTGCACGACCCGACGCCAGTCTCCCCCTTCCAAACTTAGGTAAGTGTACCTTGAAACCATCCCCCAGCCCCAAGATTGCGCTCTCCCCCTAAATCTGATTTTCCCCACTCCCATCCACCCGGTAAAAACCCATGAGCACCGCCCCCGCCCCGCGGCCTCCGCTCCCCACAGCCAGGGGCCGGTCTCCCAGTCCTCGCCAGGCCTCGCGCCCCGCAGCCATCCAGGAGTCACGGATGGCTTCGGATACGGCGCGACTAACACTTACCAAGGCCCGCAGATGCCGAAGCGCGTGGGACCGGAAGAGAAAGAGGAAAGCCGCGGTGCAGCACGGGAAATAGGCTCGTCGCAGCAGGAAGGCACTACTGGAAAAGCTTCCCTCAACGCTGTGAAGAAAGGTTCCTAAGCCCGGAGGATACAATCTCGACAGGAAGGCGAGGCTAACAAGCCGGGCCGGCTCATTCAGGTTTTGCCTCCTATTTTTCCTGGACTTGAGTCTCAGGTCTCATTAAAGGTCTTGAAGGCGACGGGAGTCCTTGAGGAACACACATTAGGCGGGAAGTGACAGGAAATTCGTGTGCTGAAAAATGTACCCCTGGCTACTGTGGAGAGTGAACTCTAGGGGGCAGAGGAGAGGAGGCAGAGCTGTGAGGAATCTGGGACAGGACTTTACCTGGAGCTGAGTGGAGACTCGAAAGGTGGATAGGAGTGGATAAAGAAAGACAGTAGACTGGGCTTAGGAGGCAGAAGGTTGGGGAGACAAAGAAGGCCAGTGTAGCCCTTCAGTTGAAGATCGTGCCTTCTACAGAAATGGGCAAGAATGGGGGAGAGACAGGGGTCTTGTTGCTTTATTCTGAGGGAGCCAATGGCTCGGGTGTTTATTTTAAAAAAAAACAACTTTAAATTTATATTGGAGTACAGCCGATTAACAGTGTTGTGAGAGGAGTTGCAGGTGCCCGGCAAAGTGACTCAGCTATACGTATACATTAATCCTGGAAGATTTCTTTTTAGGTGCATTGAATGTGATATGTCTGTTGATACCCAAAATGAGTAAACATTGCCTCCTGATAACTCTACTGCCCTGTCACGTCTTACCCCTACAGTTTTTTGTTGTTTTTTTTCCCACACAGCAGTGGAGTCTGAGGGCACTTCTCTTTATTTTTCTGGCCGCACCATGCGGCACGTGAGATCTTCCTCCAAACCAAGAGTTGAACCCCTGTCCTCTGTACTGGGAGTGTGGAGTCCTAACCACTGGACTGCCAGGGAAGTCCCTGAGGGTACTTTTTAAGATACAAATCAGATCTTGTCACTTAAAGTCTGCAAGGACTTCCCCTTGCATTTAAAAAAAGTCTGTTGAGGCCAGGAAGAAAGGTGTCTCTACAGAAGCTAAGTCCTTGATGGGTGCTGAGAACAGGCGGATGAGCTGGTGGGAAGAGGTGGGGGCTATAGGAGATGGGGGTGGTGCAAGGCCCCAGGGTGTGGGAGAGGTGGGGCCGGAAGTTGGGGCAAAGAGGGGAAGGTGTTTTTTTTGGTTTTGGGGGGTTTATTGGCCACACTGCACCTCTTGTGGGATCTTTATTCCCTGACCAGGGATTGAAGCCACACCCTCAGCAGTGAAAGCACTGAGTCTTAACCACTGGACTGCCAGGGAAGTCCCTGAGGGTACTTTTTAAGATACAAATCAGATCTTGTCACTTAAAGTCTGCAAGGACTTCCCCTTGCATTAGAGATGAATTCTTTACCTCCCCTAATCCTGGCAACTCATCATTCACTTTTCTCCACCCCCATGGACTTCTTTCTTTCCTGCCAGGCACAAATACTTGTTCCTGCTTCAGGGCCTTTGCAGTTGCTATCCACTCCAGGTGGACTGCCTTCTTCCTGCTCTTTGGATGGTGTGCTTACTTGAAGAGGCCTCCCTAGACTGCCCTATCTAAAATATGCACCTCTTGTGGGATCTTTATTCCCTGACCAGGGATTGAAGCCACACCCTCAGCAGTGAAAGCACTGAGTCTTAACCACTGGACTGCCAGGGAATTCCCAGAAGAGAAGGTTTTGACTCTCACACCTTGAGAAAGGGAAGCACACAGACACACGCTGAGGACTTGTTGCCAGGTTTTGACAGTGGCAGAGTGAGCAGTGAGCAGAGAGCCATAGCCGGACGGGGAGGCAGATTCAGAGGTGAATGACGGCCATGCAGTACCCCTGGAGCTGCTGTGGGGATGGGCCCAGGGCAGAGTCCCAGCTGAAGGGCGAGGGAGGAGCCAATGACAAGGATGAAGAGCTTTAGCTGTGATCTGAGGGGACCATTTTGGGGGCTAAAGGGAACCATGATCAGGAGCCATTGGCCTGCCATGCTTTTCATAGTGGGAAAAGATGGTAGGGCCAGCCATAGGTATAAAGAGAGAATTTTCCTACCTACTTCCTTTCTTTTTCCCTTTCCTTCTCTCCTTCCTCCTTTCCTTTCTTCTTCCTCTTTCTTCCTTCCTCCCTCCCTCTTTCTTTCTTTCTTTCTTCTTTCCTCTTCCTCCTCCTTTTCATTCTCCCCTCCCAATCTGTCTCTTTTTCTCTTCATAAATGTACAAAGAGCTTATACAAGCTCTTCTGTAACCTGATTTTATTCATTCAGTTGTAACCTGTGGACATCTTTTCCTCTTCATGAAAACCTTTTGTAATCCTATTTTATTTTACATGCTTTAAAAAAATCTTATTCTGAGAGGAGGTCAATAAACATCACCAAATGTCAAAGGAGTTTCTAACAAAAAAATCGTGAAGCCCTCAGCCGTTCCCCCAGGGACTCACCCTCTGTCTGTGTGGAGGCTTCTGTGGCATAGCCTTGGGCAGAGCTGCTAGCTGGACTCAGCAGAATGTCTGTCAGCCAGGTCTCTTGTGCCTTGGGCACAAGACAGACATGTGAGGCCCCTGTGACCCAACAAACCTTGGTCTGGGTGGGACTGGGTGTGATGCGCCTGAGCCTTGTGGCCTGCAGAGGTGTGGTCTTGTCCAGGCCTTGTCCAGCCACAACCCAACCCACAGCCTGAGTGGGATCCACTAGGGCCTACTTATTGAAATGTACAGGGTCAGGGACATCTGGCGTTATTTTTGTTGTGCTTGGCACTGTGCCAGGGTACCTGTGGGGACCTGATAAATGTTTGCAGAATTAAACGTAAATATTTCACAGATCCAGGGAGATGGCTGAATCAGTGGGCAAGACATCAGTCAGCCTGGAGGGAGTTCACAGAGACAAGTCAGTTCTTTTTTAAAAAATTATTTCTTATATTTCTGACTGTGCTTCATTGCTGCCCAGACTTTTCTCTAGTTGCAGAGTGGAGGCTACTGTCTAGCTGTGGTGTGTGGGCTACCCATTGTGGTGGCTTCTCTTGTGAAGTGCAGGCTCTAGGTTCGTGGGCTTCAGTACTTCTGGTGCTTGAGCTTATTTGCTTTGTGGCATGTGGGATCTTCCCAGTCCAGGGATTGAACCGGTGTCCTTTGCATTGTAAAGCAGATTCTTATCCCCTGGACCACCAGGGAAGCCCTATTTGTGGACTTTTGGATGATGGCCATTCCTACCTGTATGAGGTGAAACCTCATGGTTTTGATTTGCATTTCTCTAATAATTAGTAGTGTTGAGCATCTTTTCATGTGCATGGTAGCCATTTGTATGTCTTCTTTGGAGAAATGTCTATTTAGGTATTCTGCCCATCTTTTTGATTGGGTTGTTTGTGTGTTTAATATTAAGTTGTATGAACTGTTTGTGTATTTTGGAAATTAACCCCTTGTCAGTTGCACTGTTTGCAAATATTTTCTTCTAGTCTGTAGATTACCTTTTCATTTTGCTTATGGTTTCCTTTGCTGTGCAGAAGCTTATAAGTTTATGTCCCATTTGTTTCTTTTTGTTTTTATTTCAATCGCCTTAGGAGACTGACCTAATAAAATATCGGTATGATTTATGTCAGAGAATGCTTTACCTTTGTTCGCTTCTAAGAGTTTTATGGTGTCATGTCTTATATTTAAGTCTTTGAGCCATTTGAAGTTTATTTTTGCATATAAAGTAAGGGTCTGTTCTAACTTCATTGATTTACATGGGGTTGTCCAACTTTTTCAACACCACTTGCTAAAGAGACTATCTTTGCATATTCTTGCCTCCTCTGTTGAAGATTACTTGACTATAGGTATACGGGTTTATTTCTGAGTTCTCTATTCTGTTCCATTGATACATGTATCTGCTTTTGTGCTAACACCAGGCTGTTTTGATTATGGTAGCTTTGTAGTATCGTGAAGTCTGGCAGGGTTATGCCTCCAACTTCATTCTTTTTCCTCAGGATTGTTTTGGCAATTCTGGGTCTTTTATGGTTCCCTGTGCATTTTAGGATTATTTGCTCTTTTTCTGTGGAAAATGTCATGAGTAATATGATAGAGATCACATTAAATCTGTATATTGCTTTGGGTTGTATGACTGCTTTAACAGTATCAATTCTTCCAACACAAGAGCATGGGATACCTTTCCATTTCTTTGACTCATCTTCCGTTTCCTTTATCAGTTAAACCAGATAATTGGAATAAAGCACTGAACACTGTGCTGAGTATACATTAAGTGTTTAATCATTGTTCATTCCAGCCACACTGTTCCCCATAAGGCTCCTGAGGAGGCAGACATGACTTAAGGGAAAATGTCAGTGTCAAGTGAATGCTAACAGTGAGCACAGGTTCCAAGGAAGGTTCAGGATGGAGGGCCACTAGAGTCCTCAGGGGTGCTGGGTCCACTCAGTCCTGAAGTTACAGAAGGACAGAGACTGCCATGTGCCCAGATAGGAGGAACTGGAGTGGCTCGTCAGAACCACAATATTTTAGGAGAGAAGACTGGGAGTTGGAGAGGAGGCCCCTGAACACCGGGTTAAGCTTTGGATCTGGTTGAAAATTCCTGTGAGAGACCATCTGGTTCTTGTGGTCCCAGAGGGCAGAGCTATGGCTGAGGGAGGCAAATACCAGCTCCATGGATCAGGGTCATTTTTGCAATCAGAATTTCTTCCACACCATGGGAGGCTCCCAGAGTGACAAGCTCTCAGCTATGAGAAATTACTGGGAATAGAGGTTGAAATATGGGATGGAGGGTTGGAAAATATATCTCTCAAGTTCAGTTTCCTCCAAAAGTCTAGGGTCCTAAGCTCCTGGAAAAAGGAAATATGGTGGGCAGTCTGCAGTGCCAGGCTGGAGCCCAGGATCTGTCAGGAAGAGACAAGATAAGTGCCACAGAGGCTTGGGGGTAGCACATTCCTCCAGTCACTGAGACACCTTCACAGCCCCAGGCCACATATTCCCTCTGGGGAGTTCCTGGCCAAGACGTGATGTGACATCTCCAGCCGAGAATGTTAGCCTGTCATCCACATGGGGGCAGCACAGGACCGCGGATGGAATGGGGCCGCCAGTTGCTGCCTGGAGCAGCCCTCTGGGAAGAAGCCCTTTGAGCCTTCAGGACCTCTCACACCCCAGCTTCTAGCACCCATCACCCCCACCAGCCCCCCCACACCCATTCTCAGTAGGTTCTCTGTGTAGTTGAGTCTTCCCTGGCTCCAGGCTCCTGGTAGTGGTATAGGGTGTCCCACCTATACCTTGATCCCAAAGAGGGATCAAGGCAGAGAAAGTGGAGCATGTGGGTGTCCCTGGGCAGCCCGTGCTAGTCTACATCCGAGTTACTGGAGGTTATGCCTATCGGGGGTTAAAGGAATAGGTTTCCATATCTGACGAGTTCAAATTCTGACTGCTGCTCCCCAGTGGAGTGACTTCACCTCTCAAGAGCTTGTCTCTCCACCTGTGACAGTGGGGGGATGCTGAGCAGGCAGGAAGCCTCCCAGGGTCCTTGGGAGCTGGCAGGGCTCTCATCACCCTATTTCACAGACGAGGAGATGGAATCCTTGGGCCTGACTTGCTAGAGGTCCCATGGCCAAATGGAGAGCTGTGCTAAATCATCAGTCATGTCTGACTCTTTACGACCCTTTGGACTGTAGCCTGCCAGGCTCCTCTATCCGTGGGATTCTCCAGGCAAGAATACTGGAGTGGGTTGCCATTTCCTTCTCCAGGGGAATCTTCTCGACCCAGTGATCAAACGCGCATCTCTTATATCTCCTGCAATGGCAGGCAGATTCTTTACCACTAGCGCCACCTGGGAGAGCTATTGTGGTCCAGAGGCCCCCACCCCAGGACCAGAGGAACATGGGATGGTATGTGGTCATGAAGGAAACTCTGCGATACTGACAGGTGACCTGGGAGAAACCCTGGCCTCTACAGCCAGCAGATGCTCAGAGTAGGGGTGTCCCCTGTGCTGGCCCTGCTTCCGCTCAGATCCACTGGCCCCTCCCAGAAGATGCCTAGGAAGGAGGGGGTGGTGGTGGTGGAGGGCAGGTTCCTCTCCTGCCCGCTTGGGCCGGGCTTGGTTCTGTGGGTCTCAGGCACAGGGACTGGCCGGGTGTGAAGGTGGAGATGCTCAACCACACGGAGGCCTGACCTGCCAGAAAGGGAGGGATGGAATAGGTGGGCATGAGAGGGGCCCGGACAGGGCAGAACTGTATTCCTAAGAGGCTTCTCCAACTCTCAGCCCTGTGTCTGAGGTGAAGAAAGAGCATCTGAAAAGGAAGAATGAAGCTGAGGGCTGGGAGGGACCCCTTTCCTTCCCCACTAGCAGCCTCCAGTGGAGCCAGCACTGCAGTGCCATGGCAACTGTGGCCTCTCCAGGTCCTCTCTCTCCTTGAGCCCCATCGTGCCTGGATGCCCCTCCAGCCTGTGCACACCTTTCTAGCTGGGGCTAAAGAGAAGCTGGGGTAGGGAGGGCTCCTTTCTCAGCCCCTGTTACAGCCCAGGGGCTGAGTCCCAGGGCCACCCCAGGCTCAGGATCACGTGGAAGATTCTTTAAGGGGCAAGAGGGAAGGGTGAAGTGGCCTTTGCAAGAATTCTTCTGAATGAAAGAAGAATGAATGAATGAAATCACCTCCCTAAGATTTCAAACCCCAAACTCTCAAAGTCTGTACTCTTTCCCAGGTCACAGAGGCTGCGACCCAGGAGCCCCTGGAAAGGATGAGAAAACCAGCGTTGGGGCAAGGGTCTTGAAGATCACCGGGATCCCCTCTCCACGCCTGTAGGTAGGGAAGCTGAAGTCTAGAGATGAGCAGGGACTTGCCCAAGGCACACAGAGAGGATGTGGCAAAGGCAGAACCGGGGTGATCAGAGCGGGGCAGGGCAGGGGGGCATCCTTACTGTTGGCTTGAAGAGCAGGCAGTGGGGACCAGGAGGGCTGTGCCTTATGGTGTGGAGGTGGGGTTTGGGGTGGTTATGGGGAAGGCTCTGGGCCTGCCTTGCCTGCTCCCCATTTAGCGCTTCAGTAAACCCACTTCCGGCTCCAGGGCACAATGGAGTGAGGGAGGGAGGAGGCCTGGCCCAGATTAGGGAGGAACAAGGGAAACCAGAGAGAGCAGCAAGGAGCTGGGGATCCGAGGAGGAGCACAGGAGAGCTGGAACCCACAAGGTCCCACTGAGAGCCCCCGCGCGAGAAGCGCTCTGGCCCAAGTGCTGCCCTTTCCAAGCTCTGGGCCCTTGGGCAAATCCCCCAAACTCCCAGCATCTGCCCCTCACTCGCCCCCGCTCCAGGTAAAACAGGGTCAGCCCACAGCCTGGAGGGAGATTCTCTGTGATGGAGCAAACAGAAAGAATGACCCCTGGCTCCACTTGGGAGATGTGTGGCTGGGCCTGTGAGCTTGAAATCCTTCATCTGCGGGCCCAGGGCTACTATCAGGATCACCTGGAGCATCTGTGAGGTGCAGAACCTGAGGGCTGGGACAGGAGGAAGCTGCGGGCATAGCACCCCAGGATGCAGAACAGAGAGTCCGTCTAGGCAGGAGCCTCTGCAGTTTGGAAGAGGGGCTCTGGAGCCTTCCTGGGAGAGGAGGAGGGCTGCTGGGGCACAGGGGCAGCCGGCCTTGTGAGGTCAGGGAGAGGTGGGGGTGGGGTTGGGAGGCTGTGGGCCGAGCAGGCTCAAGCTGGCATTTGCTCCCCATGGCTCTCTGGCACTGGCCCCCAGCTGATGAGGGCCTCCCGGAGCTGTCGCCATACCCCCAAAGCCTGGCCCACAGTGGGTGTCCTAAATCAGGGCCAGGGCAGGAAAGGGGCGTTCTGCTAGGGCTGGGAGCCAGGAGCTGTGCGTTGGTCCTCGCCACACCTGCAAACTGGCTTCTTCTGTTAATTCTATGTTACAGGTGAGGAAACAGAGGCCCAGAAAGGTAAAGTGACTTGCACAGGGTCGCACAGCTATTTCTCTGTCAAGGCCACTCCTGGAAGCTCTGCTGGTCTTGGATGCTGCCGGAGACGCACGATGACAGCTTGGGAAAAGGAGGGCCACATCCTAGCTGAGGAGTGAGCCTCTGGGAGAGCGTGCTGTGGTCTCCAACAGCAGGTGGGTCCCAATACAGCATCCCTCCTCCGCAGCGCTCTCGGTCCTTCCTTTCCATGTCCCCCCCCCAACTCTTGTTCATTAGTGGGTCATCACATTCTCAGGCACTCACCGTCTGTCCACTGGTGAAGGCTGGAGGGCATGACCCACTTGCTGCCTTGACACTTAGCAGCTGGGTGACCTTGAGCAAAAGCTCCATTCGCTTATAGCTCCGTGACCTCGTGAGACAGGGATGAGCGTGCCACCTACTGCTCTGTGGGTTATGGTGAGGCTCTGGTTACCCTCACAGGGCCTGGCCGATGGGGCTCTGTCCCATTTGATAGCCCCTGGGGAAAAGGCTTGAAATGGCCAGAAGGCCCTGCTGGTGATACCCAGCTCTCTCCCAGACCCCCAAATCTCCCCTGGAAACATGTAGGCTGCCCACCCCCAGGGCACCCCGCCCAGAGGGGGCTGGGAGAGTGGGGATGGCTCCCCAGATGCTTTCTTCACCCCCCAGCAGCAGGCAGGGATGATGGTGGGGATGGAGCCAGGAGAGGGCGGCTGAGGACAACGGCTGAGTTGAGGCAGTGAGGGCACGTGCGGGCCCCTGGCCACCCCTAACAACCAGCTGTGGGTGAGAGACCCAGGGGCTTCGCTCCGCCTGCCACAGCGCTGGCCCTGTCTGACTGGCGCGAGTCCTCCAAGCACTGGTTTTAACCCATCTTTTTTCTGCAAGAAGCCCCGAAGCTCCCGGTGGCGCGGGGGCGGCTTCCCCTTGACTTGCGTCTCTTAGAGGATGCGGCTTGGCTAAAAATAACTCGAATTGCTGTGCTCCCGCCCCCGGCGTGGAGGAGGGGCCCAGGGGCCTGCGGGGGCGGGAGCCTGGAGGGAATAGAGCTGCAGCCGGGAGGGGGTTCCCTGTGAGGAGAAGGAGAAAAGCGCTGCTGGCAGGTGGGAAGGGGTGCGGGGGGCTGAAGGGAACGGCCCTGTCTCACCCACTTCTCTTCAGGCCAGCTCCGGAGCAGGGCTGGGGGTGAAAGCTGACCCTGATCTCTGGCCGTGCACCGCGGAGGGGGCCAGTCTGGCTGGGTAGCCCCAGCGGGCTCCTTCCAGCAGGAAGTCTGTGTTTGAAGACCTCCCTCCACTCAGCTCTGCGCTATTGAATGCAAGCAGTGACAGCAGGGGGCGCTCCTGGTTTCCTCTCGCCTTCCCTGTGGTGGGACACGGAGCCCCAGATCCTTATCCAAAAGCTGGGTGCAACTGCAGCATGAAGCACTAGACTCCTGGGCAAGCCGAGGCCTCCTCTCGCGGCCCCACCTCCTCCGTCTGTCTGCAGAGGCGGCATCAGACCTCCCCCATCACCCCCTGGGTACAGGGCTGTGACAGCCTACATGGGACCACCCCTCCAAGCAGGCTGGGGGCTGTGGTAGAATCCATGAGGCCCTAAGCCAGCAGGACCTGGGGTGCCCGCATGAAGGTGGGCTGGTCCGGGAGGGTGGGGGCTCCAGTGCCCATGGGACGGGGGAGGTCACCGTGGGGCCCAGGAAGGAGCCTGAGGTTGGGCTGCACAATGGGCTGCCAGCCTTGCTGGCTGCCTGATGCTGCCCTCTCTGCCCTCCCCAGCTTTGTACCCCAGGGCTGAGACAGAGCAGGAGACAGGGCGCAGGAGGCTCAATGGCGGGGCCAGGGTCTCATGGCGGAGAGGGGACTGATGGCTGTCCTTTGTGCAGACCTGGCAGAGGCAGTGGGGAACACACTGGTGGGGGGGGCCAGTCAGCCCGGCAGGAGGAATGGGCTGGGACCTCCGGGGCGCTGGGTGGGGGCCCTTCATGCTCTGTCTCAGCTTTCTTATCCGTAGGGGTGGTGGTTGGATGCCCTGGCAGTCCCCTTAGATGGAGAGCAGAAGGAGCCAGAGTGGAGTAGGGAAAAGATCAACTACCCCTGCCCGCCTCTCACCTCTCAGCACTTGCGGGGCTCTGCAACCTTCTGTCCTAAAGTCACCCTCACTTTGCACACAAGGAAACCAAGGCTCAGAAAGAAGAAGTGACTCACCCGGGATCCTAGGGCTTGTGCATGATGAACCAGACCTGTATTTATTTATCTGGTTGCGAGAAGTCTTAGTTGCAGCACGTGGGATTTTTAGTTACGGCAGGCGGCATCTAGTTCCCTGACCAGGGATGCAACCCGGGGCCACCCTCCAGTGGGAGCATGGAGTCTTAGCCACTGGACCACAGGACTGGACCTTTGAACCAAGGACTGTCCAGCTGCACAGTCTGTTTTCTCATTTCATCTTGTTCTGAACATGGAGCCAGATGCACTTATGCAGTTGAGTTGAAGTGGGGTGCATGGGTGTGGATCCAGATGTGAGATGCACAGTGTCATGTAGCTGTGGACCCCTACCCCGACCCACCCCTCCCACTCTAGAGTTGGCTCAGGTCACAGAGCACCTCGTTCCTGGGCACCAGTGTGCCTGGGAAGGGTCCATGTGTGCAGGGGGGTCGGGGAGGGAAGAGGGAGTGTATACCCCGGCGGGATGGGAACATTATCATTAACAATAATGATAATACAACCCACCCCCCAGGATGTTTTTAGCAGCTCTGTTCCTGAGGAGAGGCTAAGAACAACACAAACATCCAGTAACAGGAGAATTAAGAAATCAACCGCACCTCCCGCAGCAGTAGGGGTGAACCCTAAAGCATAATGTAGAGGGAAGAACACAAATTGCAGGAAACTACACTCAGTTCAAAGCCATTTTTATCAAGTCCTCCACCAGGGTGAAACTACACAGTACTGTTTTAGACGTTCAAATGCATATGATCAAGCTCTTGCAAAAGTGATAAATGAGCATTCTTGGTACACTGGGGGAGGTAGGAGTCAGGTAGGGGTGTCACACACCCGGAGATTCCCCTGATGAAACCTATTGCTGGCTCATAGGATGCCAGGTGCTGTTTGGGGTGCTGGGGACAGGGTAGGTGGGCACAAGCAAGACAGACGTGAACCCCAGGTCTCACGGTGCTTATAGTCTCGCGAGGTGCACTTTGATCCTGTTCTTGTGTTGCACGGTAGGTCACCAGCATTCATTAGGTTATTATGTATTGTCACAGACATTCCTTTGTTGTTGTCATTCAATCACTAAGTCGTGTCTGACTCTTTGCGACCCCATGAACTTCAGCATGCCAGGCTTCCCTGTCCTTCACTTTCTCCTGGAGTTGGCTCAAACTCATGTCCATTGAGTCAATGATGCCATCCAACCATCTTATCCTCTGTCGCCCCTTTCTCCTCTTGCCTTCAATCTTTGCCAGGATCAGGGTCTTTTCCATTGAGTCAGCTGTTTGCATCGGGTGGCCAAAGTATTGGAACTTCAGCTTCAGTCCTTCCAATGAATATTCAGGGTCTATTTCCTTTCAGATGGGCTGGTTGGATCTCCTTGCCATCCAAGGGACTCTCAAGAAAGCCCCTTATGATATTACCTATTGTCACAGACATTCCTTTACTTTAATCAAATACTATACTTAAAGAAGTAAATAAGAACCGCAAAGGTAATTGACCTCTCCCTCAAAAAGTCCCACCCAAGTGGGTGAGGTGTGGGGGCTGAGCCCCTCTCCCCACCTCTTCTCACTGATACACTGTCACATTCATCCAGGAGTCCCAACCCTTGGACCCACATCCCCCCCAAGGTGTCCAGTTCCAGCTGAATGTCCCACAAGGTTACTCCCTCACTCTTCAGCAGGTGAAGGTCAGATTGGCTTGGAGTGCAAGGTTGGTGGCGGGGGAGGGTACCCAGCTTCCGGGAGAGCCAGAGCCAGTTGGGGAGGTCAAATGCAATGGAGAGAGGTACAGAGCCTGGGGAATCCCCCCTCTTTCTGGCCCAGGGCTCTTACATGACAAACAGAGGCGAAGGGTGCCAAAGATGGGAAGTAACAGATCGGCTCTGTCTCAAGTCTGCACCTTCACCTGGGCGGGGCGGGTGTTAGTCTGCCGTGCACCCATCCATCCAACCATCCATCATTTATCGGACACTGGTGATCTGCCACACAACACAACAACAGGAACATTACATACCTTGCAGGACTGTAAGCTGCACGAGGCCTGGGGTTCATGTCTGTCTGGCTTGTGCTTGCTTCCCCGGCCCCCAGCCCGCGTCCTCTGCCCTCCTGGGGCAGGGCCAGCCTAGCTGCCCTCTCTCCATGGCCTGGTGCCTGGTGGGTACTTGCTGAGGGGCACCCTGCCTCTCTGTCACTGCTCTCAGCAGAAAAGGATGCACCTCCAGGCCCTCACGTGTGCTGTTCCCTCCGCCTGCAGCAGTGCACCCCCACCTGGCTCCGTCTAACCGTCATGGCCACTGGGAGGCCTTCCAGGACCGCCCCAGCCGGGCCAAGCCCTTCTCTTCACACCTCCTGCAACACCACAAGCTGTACCCTGGTCATGCTTTGTCTAGGTCTAGCTCTCCTGAGTTGGAGCACTCCCCTAGATCAGGCCCAGGTTCCCCATGCCTGGGCTAGGGGGCCCTCCCCAGGAGGGCTCTCAGCTTCATTCTCTCTGGCATTCCCACTCCTGCACACAGTCTGGCATTTTCTCCCTGGAGGAGCCAGGCACGAAGGGGAGGTCAGTTTCTTCACCAGCCCCCACACCTCTTGGACTCCAGTCTCTGGGTCTTCACCCCTCCTTCCAGCAGTCCACCTATCTTTCCCTGAGGGCTACCAGGGCTCCACGTGTCCATCTTTCTTTCTTCCAGAGCTGCCCTTGGCAGGAGAGATAGTGGGTGGGCAGGGTCCGGGAATGAGGTGACAGGAAGCTCCCTGAGAACACTCCCCCCAGCTCTCTACCTCCAGAGCCTGTGATGGATACAGGGTGGGGGATGGGAGAGATGGCAGTGAGTGGTCCCCGTTCCAAATCCAGGTCACTCCCGGCCTGCTCAGCAGTCATCGGTAATTAGGGGCCAGCAGGACGTGGGCAGGCGGGTGGCAGGAGGCCTAATTGTCTGATTTTTCAGGTAATTAACGGGAGGCTGTCTGGCCTGTCCC